GGTGGTGGTAGAGGTGATATTAGAAAAAATGTCTGGCGGACTAATTTTTTTTATTTTTTACATGTTGGACATTTTTTTTAAACATTAATGTTTAATTTTTTGTATTTTTTGGTAAGTAAAAATCATTGTTTTATTTATTTTTATTTTTTTTACATGTTGGGCATTTTTTTTGAATATTAATGTTTAATGTTTTGTATTTTTTTATTTGTTTTATTATTTTATATAAAAATAATTTAATAATCCAACTATCATCAAAACAAATACAATTTTACTTAATCTTCTCATTATCAATCCCCTCATTATTAATTCCTTTTATTCTACATCTAAAAACAAACGGGCCTATAATAGCTATTATTTTCATTAGCGTTTAAGGGTAAATTACAAATACACCTTCTGGGATTTGCTTAAAATACATATTACCCCTTGTTATTTGAAAAATTATAAATACCCCCTTATTAGAATTTTTTATTTAACATAATTAATTAAAAAAATAAAATTCATAATTGCTCTCCTATTTAATAATAAAATTACATATTTTAATATCATTAAAAATAATTAATTGATTTGATGATTTATTAATAAAATGGATGATTTGTTATGAAATTATAAATCTCAGAAAGTAGAATGTAATTTTCAAAACTACAGAAGATGATTCGTATTTTAATTAAATCTCAAAATGTGTATTTAGGCTCGGTTTGACATATCTTAAAAAAAGACAAAAAGATAAAAAGTTGCTAAAAAAAGCTAAAAAGTTATCACTATTCACAAATTAAAAATATATAAAAAATAAATTTACATTGATGCAAAATACAAGTCATGAATGTATGACACAGTGATGTCTGTCCCGGTACAAATTACACACGGGTGCACAACAAATTTACACTAGACAGTGTTGTTCGGTCTGTGAGAGCCTATCACGGGTCTCGTTTTGATAATCTGAACCGTTTGATGTGTAGAACTCATCGAGTACTATATGTCTGTAAACAATCACGTTGATTGGTTATCACTAACTACATGATCAAATCAGTTTTGTATAAAAAAAAGTATGGTGTTATAGTTAACAGTTGAAGAAAAACTTATCTGATCAGATAGCTATCGATATCCGATCAATGTGATTTTTTATAGACATATAGTACTCGACGAGTTCTATATATTAAACGATTCACATTATCAAAACGAGACCCGTGATGGCCCCCACGAGCCGAACAACACCATCTAATGCAATATCCGAAAAGTAGGCAAGCATTTCTTAGCATCAATTCAACCTACACAAACTGTACGGCTGTACAACTCACCATCCTTATCTTCTCCTACACATTAATTTATACAATTTTTTAATACATTTTTTTTTTGTAAAAAGTCAAAAAGTTAACCCAAATAATCATATTTTTTTCCTAAACTTTTTATCCAAAAAGTCAAAAAGTACACTTACTTAGGACACCCCAAACAACCTCTTATAATTTATTCAGCATTTAAATAACATAATATTATAGGGGTACTTATGTGTAGGTCCTAATAAGTGGACTTATTGTCTAATAGGTTCTATAAGAAAAATTTGTCATAAAAAAAAGTCAATAATTGTGAGTTTTAGTGACAATTTATAAAAATCATTACAAAAAAAGTAACTATTAGCAATATATGTAAAAAATTATCATAAAAAAATTATTTTTAGCGACAATTTTACCAAGACATATTTTTAATAGAACTTAATAGAAATTAAGTTCAACTATTAGGACCTGTTGGTAGTTTACCCAATATTTTTCATACGTATTAATAAAAAGAATAAAATATTCTTGCTTTTATAACAATTAGAGAGAGGCTTATCTCTCGTCTTCACAGTGGACTAGAGTGTACTATTAGACTTGTAAGATTCATCATGAGTTCTATTTTGATAATCTAAATCGCCTAATGTATAGAATTCGTCGAGTACCTCATGTTTGTAAAAAATTACGTTGATCGAATATCGGTAACCCCTTGACCGAAATATATTTTTGTTAACAATTTATTTTAAAAATCATATTTACCATTGATAAAAATACTTTTCGATCAAGAGATTATTGATATCCGATCAATGTGATGTTTTTGTAGGTATGAAGTATTCGACAAACTCTACACATTAAACAGTTCGAATTATCAAAACAAGACCTATGATAGACTTTACAGACCTAACAATACACTCTAGTTTATTGTGTGGATCAGAGAAAAGTCCCTCCTTAAAAATTATTCTATACTTGTGTGGTAATACCACACTCAATTCATATCACTGATGTCAGTAATGGATGGTGTGGATTGAGTGTAGCCAATAGATAGTGCGGATTGAGTGTGTCGCATTGCCATAAGCAATGCATACTACTCGAAAATGACACTCCCTAACCATGCTAGTTGACCCAAATAGAAATTGAAATTTACAAAAGTAAATAAATAAATCCACAAGTTACACACACAAACTTGCAATTAAGTAGTCCGATGAGATTGTTCAAAAATAAAATAAAATACTCCAATGAGAATTGAGAGTGAGCTTAAATTACGCAACAGTGCGTTTCGTTTCAATTTTTTAAATTGAATTTTTTATTTTTCATAATTTTTTATTTTTATTAAATATTTAAAAAATTTTAAGTAATTTTTTTACTTTTTTAGATGCACATGTATCTAAGAAAGTAAAATATTTATAAAATCAATAAATATACAAGAATATAAAAAATATACTGAATTATTGTATTTTTTTATATTTTTGGTATTTAGTGAATTTTTAATTTTTTTTTTTTTACAAATATTATACTTTTAAGTATATTTATGTTATGTATATCTAAAAAATTTAAAATTGTTTAGAATATTAAAAAAATAGTGAAAATAAAAAAATACGAACAATAAAAAAAATTAATTTTTTAAAAATAAATCCTAAAAATCCAAACCAAACAATGTAATATTGGGAATATTATTTTTTAAAATCTTATTTTATTTATTATTTTTATATGTCACCATTATATTTGTTTAATAAGCCACATCATTCATATTTATTATCAATTCAATAGGGATACAAAACATGATAAGAATACAGGGGAAATTACAAAAAAAAAAAGATTCCAAGGTTTCGCGTGTTTTTTAAATTAAATCCCATAGTTTCAATTTTGACAAATTAAATCGTGGAGTTTCTTCCGTGTTTCAATGTGAATCCTCCATCTATATCCGTTTAATTGAACTAACGGAATCTGGGTAAAATTCTCAGATTCAAGCACACATGTTCAAACACTTGTATCTCCCTCGTCGTAACTTCGTTTCGCCTCATTTTTGGATTTTTAGATTCACCTCATTGCCTAGTTTTCATTCCATCCCTCATTCCCCTTGTTCCACCTCTTTTTGTGTGCTGTTGGAAATTCAAAAGTTGGAAGAAAAAAAAAAGATTTTTCTCTTAGGAAAATTTTCAAATTTAAACACACATGTTCAAGCATTTGTATCTCCTTCGTCTTAACTCCGTTTTGCCTCATTTTTGCGTCTTTGGATTCACCTCATGGCCTAGTTTTTGTTCCACCCCTCATAAGCCTTGTTTCAGCTCTTTTTGTATACTGTCGGAGCTCCAAAAGTTGGCCAAAAATCAATTTTTTTTTTTTTTTTTTGTCGTATATCTTATATCTCCATACTTCTTCCTTCCTTCCTTTCCACAATTATTCTCTCTTTTCCTCTTCCTTCATGGCCCTTCCCCCACTCTTATGTTTCTTTCCGTTCTTGTAAATCATATACATTCATACTTGACAACACCGCCACCGTCGGAGGTTCGGTGGCCACCACGAGCTCGGTGGAAGGGCCATGAAGGAAAAGGAAAAAAGAGAATAATTGTGGAAAGAAAGTAAGCAGGAAGAAGCATGAAAAAAATAAATAAATTATTTTTTGCCAACTTTTGGAGCTTTGACGGTATACAAAAAGAGGTGGAATAAGGTGCATGAAGGGTGAAATGAGGTGAATCCAACAAAGCAAAAATGAGGCAAAACGGAGTTACGATGAGGGAGATACAAGTGCTTGAATATGTGGGTTTGAATATGAAATTTTTGCCTAAAGAAAGAAAAATCTTATTTTTGGTCAACTTTTAGACCTCCGACAGTATGCAAAAAGAGGTGGAACAAGACTAATAAGGGGTGGAATGAAAACTACGTCATGAGGTGAATCCAAAGACGCAAAAATGAGGCAAAACGAAGTTACGACAAAAGAGATACAAGTGCTTGAACATGTGTGTTTAAATCTGAAAATTTTCCTAAGAGATAAAAAACTTATTTTTTTTCTAACTTTTAGAGTTCCAACGGCACACAAAAAAAAGGTAGAACAAAGCATATGAGGGATGAAATAAAAACTAGGCAATGAGATAAATCTAACAATGCAAAAATGAGGCGAAACGGAATTACGACGAGGGAGATATAAGTGTTTGAACATGTGTATCTGAAAATTTTGCCCAAATTTAGTTTGTTCAATCAAACGGATATAGATGGAGGGTTCACATTGAAACACGAAAGAAACTCTAGGATTTAATTTGTCAAAATTGAAACTATAAGATTTAATTTGAAAAACACGCGAAATACTAAGTTTTTTTTTGTAATTTCCCCAAGAATATATTATTCGTATTGGAGTAAAATTAGTATAATTATCTTCCATAAATTCAGTTTGCCCTTTAAAATTAGTTTTTGGACTTTTTTTTAATAAAAAAAATATATAAAAAATAAAGAGATAATATAACTCAAAATAAGTTAAAAATTAAAAATTGACTTTTAAGCAAGTACTAAAACAACCCACAATCTCTGCCATGGATTTACGTGGATTGAATCCATCGGCCACACTAGATAGATATTAAATCTAATTAAATTTTTTTAAAAATCAATTTTTTTTTATACTTATTTTTCAGTCTTCCTAATCGAATAAAATCTAAAAATATATTTTCACTAAAAAAAAAATAACAAAAAAATTTAAAACTGAACACAGTCCTTCCCCTTTGCCTCTATCTCTCTCTCTCTCTCTCTCTCTCTCTCTCTCTCTCTCAGAAAGTCGTAGCATAAATGATTAGAAAATTCCGTTGGCGGTAGTTACGCTGACTCCGCCCACTTCCACCACCATCCTCGTCGCTCTCACCAATCCTTTTCTTTTACATCACACACACATTTATTCAAACACATACACTACACTCCAAAACTAAACCAAAACTCCACACATAAACAAAGAGACTCAGCCTTTTAGTGAGAAAACACACACTCACTCACTCACTCTCTCTCTCTCTCTCTCTCCCCTCTATATATATATACATATGTAAATTGTAATCCTCCTCCTCTCTCCACCTGGAAACCGTTTGTTTGCATTTGTCACCTATTTTTCTTCTCTACTTTCTCAGTCACCAAACAGAGTTAGAAGAAACAGAGCATTAATAGTGATGACTTGCATGGCATTGTTTATGATGGCTTTGTTGGTTGTATCAATGGTATTGGTGAGCTCTGTGAACGCTCGATTCGTGGTGCAGAAGAGCAACATCAGAATTCTATCTCCTCATAATCTTCGCTCTTCCAACCACGTCGGTGCCATGGCGAACTTCGGAGTGCCTAACTATGGAGGATCCATGGTGGGCTCTATTGTTTACCCTGAAAAGGGCTATCTTGGTTGTAATCCCTTCGATGGTCATGAACCCTTCAAGTCAAAGTCTCATCGTCCCACTATTCTTCTTCTCGATCGTGGAGGTAAAAATACTTATGCATATTGAATTGATGGGTTGTTGTTTTTGATTGTTTTGTTTGATCTCTGAATTACTATGAAGCACGTTGTTTCTAGAAATGGGTTGTGGCTAGTTTTTCTTCTTTAACTTGGTTTTGGATGATATTGGCATTGATGGGTATTCATTAGTTCAGGAAGTTGTCTTTTAGACATAGTGGTTGATTCCAAGATTTCGCTCTGCTGGCTTCTACTCTGTTTTACACTTCGTATGTGTGTGGAAAAGAAAAGTTTATGTTTTCTCTCTTTGGCCTTTTGTTTGGATAAATAGGAATGAAATAGAAGAGAAAGATTTCTCGCCTATCTTATTTGGTTTATATTAAGGGGTTGTTTGGGTGTCTTAAATAAGTGCATTTTTTGTCTTTTTGGACAAAAAAGTTGAGGGAAAAAATATGGATGTTTAGGTTAATTTTTTAACTTTTTATGAAAAAATGTGTATTAAAAAATTGTATAAATTAGTGTGTAAGGGAAAATTAGTATTGGGAGTTGTGCAGCCATAATATTTGACTTTTGGTGAATAGTGATAACTTTTTAATTTTTTGAGTAACTTTTTAGTTTTTTGGCTTGTTTTACACTTCCCAAACTTTGCCTAAATAACCTTTTTCGAGCATCTCTAACAATACATTAAATTTTTCATCAAGTTTGAGTAAAATTCTATTTGATATTAAGTGTTCTAACGGAGGTTTTTGAAGCTGCATCAGAACATTGGTCGACCGAGCGGACGACCGGACAGATGTCCGGCAAGTCAACCGGTCAGTATAATTTTTTTACAAATTTTTGCCTTGAGATAGTCATCCGGAGGGACATATGGAGAGACATCCGGTGGTAAAAATCAAACAATTATGAACAGTGATTTGATGAAAGGCACATTGGTTCTCAGTTTGATGAAAGAAAAGTAAAATTCTGGATTTGATATCTATTTGATGAAACCGTTGGAGCAGAAAAAGGAGCCATTTTTCATCAAATTCAAATTTGATGAAAGGTTTAAGTAACCATTGGATGGTCTTAGGAGTTTGTTTTTTATTTCTTCTATATTTAAAGGGGCAATTTTGATTTTTTTTTTCCTTTCCCAATTTATTCACTTTTGGAGATATTCAAAATAAAAGTTGATGACGACAACGTCCCACATCGTCTAGGAAGGACTCCCACTTCCACCTTATAAGTGTGCTGGCCTCCTCTACCTTGTATGAAACCTTTTCCCCCGAGGGGGAACAAAACCCTGGGAGGGGGGGGGGGTTACGAGATCCGTCCCTCAACCCCAAAGCGAACAATATCTGCAAGGGCATGAGAGGACAAGCACACAAATTTGGTGCTAGAAAAAGGGCTTTCCAACAAACTCTCCCACTGTTGCAGCCCAGTACGGTGGGGGTTATGATGAGGACCATGTCTCACATCATCACTTGGGAGGGACTCTCACTTCCACCTTATAAGCGTACTAGCCCCCTCCACCTTATATGAGGCCTTTTCCCCCAAGGAGGAACAAAACCGTGAGGAGGGGACGACAAGATCCATCCCTAAACCCCAAAGCGGACAATATCTGCAGGGACATGAGAGAACATGCGCGCAAATTTAAGAGAAAATGCCTCATACAAGGTGGAAGGGGGCAGTATGCTTATAAGGTGGAAGTGGGAATCCCTCCCAGGCAATGTGAGACATTGTCCTCATCAAAAGTTATAAGAGAAATGAGTTTGTTTCGATTTTTTCCCCATTTCATCCCATTTCTCTCATCTTTACTAATCCAAGCAGGTTATATGAACCAAGAGAAATGTTAATTTTCTTTCCTTCCCAAACCTCTCTCACTTTCAATTATCATAGATTCATGGGTGGATATCCCCATGTGATTTATCAAGTGCTTTTGTGTATCTTTGATTCACACTCTGTGGCTTCTTCCATGCAAACACTGTTCAATTGATGTAAAACAGTTTCTGGTTTTGTTTGTCTTTTGTGGGGGTCTTCATTCCTCCACCCAATTAATTGGCACAAAAGCCATTTTTTCTTTTCTTTTTCAATCACCACCCCTTCCTTTCTTTTTGACGTCACGATGATCTGCTTATGCATTAATCAGTTTGTTAAGCTAGTTTAATGAGGACTTGACAGTAGTATTCAGAAGGGGCTCAAGTGCTAGACAAATAAGACTTGTGCCCAAGGCCCTGTACAGTAAAAGGCCCCACTTTTATGTATTTTAACATTGTAAATATAAGCTTGCTCTATCTAATATATATATATATATAAATTTGCAATCACACTAACAGTTAAAAAGATGGGCAGGGCTGTCTTAATCTTGAATGTTTTTTAAAGGATTATATTAGTAATATCTCATGTTCATCTCTCTCTCTCTCTCTATCATTTTCTTAGGAGTGGTTTGGAATGTTCTAAATAAGTGCATTTTTTGACTTTTTATAAAAAAAATGTGTAGAAAAGTCGAGAAAGTGGGTAGAAAAATAGAGAGGAGATGTTGATAAATGTGACCCAAATAAGTGTATGTATGCAAAAAAGTGCACTTTTTTAGTGCATGCCATACACCTACTCAGTTTGTGCTCTTGACTCTTTTTTTTCCCCTTTCTTTTTTTCCTTCTTTTTTTTTTTTTTTGGGGGGGGGGGGGGTGGGGGGGGGGGGGGGATAGAGTTGCTCATTTTAGAATAATCTGCTTTGTTGGAATTTAAATGTATAATGAAGCTAGGAGATCATATTCTGTAATGGCTTGTTATAAGGTTTTTAACTTTGTGCTAAATTTCTAACTTTGTGACTTTTCAGATGAGTATAAATTAATCTCTTGTTCCTTTCACGTTCATTGTAAAAAAATAAGATTTAGAGATAATAGAGAGAAATAAAATGTTTCCAAACTGAGTTTCATTTTCCCCAGCTGGTTTAGGAAGAATCATTGGAAAGAAAGGAACCACAAAAAGGTGGAGTTAGAGTTTTAACATAAATGTTTTTATTTTTTCTTTTGTAAAGGAGAAATTAGAAGAAAGTGTTGTTTGTTTGTTTTTTTTTTTTGCTCTTGGTTAATTTTTTACACATTCTTCATATTTCAAAATGAAGAATGTAATGAAATGGTCTATGTTTTGCAACTGCAGCCTCAGTTCCTTAATTTTTTTCCCATCTTATTTTGTTATGCTGCATGAATAATCCATATAATTTTCTTGTTCTTTTGAATGGATGATATTATGGGTTAATTATTGTGTCAGTCCCTATTGTTTTCTTGGTTAATTATTGTTGTGGCTCATATTACAATCTTCTTGGTGGAGTGGGTAGATACGGTGGTTTGTTTTCTTTTGGAAAATTCAGAAGCATGGCAAGTTGATGATATCATGGGTTTTTGTTTCGAGGCAGACCTGTTTGTTCTTAGAAGTGGATTGAATAGGCCAAATTATTGATTCAATTACCAATTATATTTTTCAATGAATTATTCAATTAAGTAGCCAATTCAATTTATATTAATCAATCAATTGTGTATATGACATTGACATCCATATAACATCGACTAATAAAGTAAATAACAAGTACAAGCAATGTATGTGGAAAATCTTAGGAACAACAATCCTCATGGGAAAAACCACGGGCATTCATGCCAGTGTAAACAATCAACTAAATTAAGACTTAATATGAAGACTCAACTATATGACTTACAACCTAACCCTGGATGCAATTAGCCATCACGTTTTTACTGATTGAACTAATTGCAAGCTCTATCTTCACTTGCTAGTGACTTACTCCTTGATTTTTATTTTTTTTTTGTGATTTAAATTATTTAACGACACTTTAACGATCACTTTTTCATATTCTTCCCGTCTTTCTTTCTTCTCCTTAATGGCTTATATTAACAACTTCATATTAGAAAGGACTGCTATTATGCTCCCTGTCCCATATTTGGAAATCTAGAAGCATGGAAAGTTGGTAAATATTCATAGATGTCAACTTATATTTTATTGCCTTCTGGATCTATTACAATTTTGCAAGTTTTACGGGATGTATTAGTACATGTACTTCTGTTTCTGCTTGACAAACAGGTGGCCATAAATTTGATGTGGTTTTGTGTGAAGTATTCTTTTTATTAATATCATAATTGGCATAACCTGGCTAAGTTTCTCACATATAAGTTTTATCTTTCATCAAGATAGGAGACGTGATTTTTTTTTTTTTTGGGAGGGGGGGTTCACTACATGACTTTTCCTTTGCCCCTTAAACTGCTAGATTGCTACTTTGCCTTAAAGGTATGGAATGGGGAACAGGCAGGTGCTGCAGCAGTTTTGGTGGCTGATAGCACAAACGAGCCCCTAATAACTATGGATTCTCCCGAGGAGAGCTCTCATGCAGTCGGATACATAGAGAAGATTGGAATTCCATCAGCTTTAATAGAAAAGTCCTTTGCTGAGACCTTAAAAACTGCATTGACGAAAGGTGAAGATGTTACGATAAAATTAGACTGGTCAGAGTCAATGCCCCACCCAGATGAGAGGGTCGAGTATGAGTTGTGGACTAACAGCAACGATGAATGTGGAAGTCTTTGTGATAAGCAGATGAATTTCATTAAAAATTTTAAAGGCCATGCTCAGATTCTGGAGAAGGGTGGTTATACCCAGTTCACACCACGCTATATAACTTGGTTTTGTCCTCGGCCTTTCTTGCTTAGCAGTCAGTGCAAGTCACAATGCATAAACCGTGGAAGGTACTGTGCGCCTGATCCAGAGCAGGATTTTAAAGAGGGCTATCAAGGGAAGGATGTGGTAATTGAGAACTTGAGGCAGCTTTGTGTGCATAGAGTTGCCAATGAGAGCAACAACTCATGGGTTTGGTGGGATTATGTGACAGATTTCCATATCAGGTGTTCCATGAAGAAGAAGAAGAGATACAGCAAAGAATGTGCTGAAGAAGTCATGAAATCGCTTGGTAAGTGCTACCTCCAGAAATCTTTTTGTACACAATTAAGTTGATTGTTTGATCCAATAAGTACATTTTCATATTTGATTTTGATCCACAAGATCTGCCAATTGAGGAGATAAAGAAATGCATGGGCAATCCAGAAGCTGATGTAGAAAACGACGTCCTAAAAATGGAGCAAGATCTCCAGGTTCATGCTTTCTCTGTTCATCCATATTTAGTCAAATAATTTCATTTGCTGCTTTAAATGAACTTATTGCGTTGTACTTCAATTTGTGAAATCTAGGTTGGCCGAGGATCTCGTGGTGACATTACGTTCTTGCCAACATTGGTTATAAACAATGTTCAGTACCGAGGTTTGTAAGATAATGCATGGTTATGATCTATTATAGATTTATGCTATGGCATCTCCAGTAGCTCCATTAAGTCATAGTTTTACACCGTTAGCTTACTATGTTAGTAATATATGAAAGATCTTACAACCAAGTATACTTTCTGTTTATGTGAAAGCTAAATTGAATGGGATATGCGGAGATCAAATGAGGAACGCTTTCCTTCTTTTGATCATTTTGTGTTATGTTGTCTAAGTGGTTGATGGAATCAGTTGTCCTAGTCAACTGGGCTTGCTATAAATGTAATTAAATCATTGAGTAACCACAATCTCGTTCCCTAGTTTAGTCTGTTAGGTGCATTCTATAAACTTAACTTTGCCACTGGAAATTGAATTTCTCATTATCATTCACATTTTACAGATTCCTTTTCATATATATTCCTTCCCTTTTTACTCTCCTAAAGGGGCTTTGGAATCCATTCCGTAGTACGTTTTTATCAACTACATGTCTTGATTGATTAATCTGCTGTTTCTTAGTGATTTTAATATAATTTATGTTTCAATTTGTACCTGTTGGGCACCTAAAGCACTTGATCTTCCATTTCTGAAGGAAAATTGGACAGGACTGCGGTTCTGAAGGGCATATGTGCTGGATTCAAGGAGACTACTGAGCCTTCAATTTGTTTGAGTAGAGGTTTGGCATCATTCTTTCTTCTGTAATCTGTACCGATATGAATTGTGCATGAAATTTGTGAAATGTACTGATACCCATCCTTATCCTCAATTTGTTATTTTCACAGATCTTGAGACCAATGAGTGCCTCAAAAGGAATGGTGGCTGTTGGCAGGACAAACAACATAATATAACTGCGTGTAAGGTATACTGAGTGTCATCAAAGCTCTTTAATAAAAACTGTATTTTACAAAATATGACTGATGGGCTTTTACAAGCATTTTTAGATTTGTTTATTACTTATACCAGGATATTGTCTTTCTCTAGGACACATTTAGGGGAAGAGTTTGTGAGTGCCCTTTGCTGAATGGTGTGCAGTATAAAGGAGATGGTTACACATCTTGTCAAGGTACATAGTTTCACCTCAAGAAAACTTTTCATCCATACCTTAATACCAATGCTGGATATTCTTTTTGTATTGAAAATGGTTTCTAAATAACCTGGACAAGGTTTAGTTGTTTTGTTTGTAATTTTTTATTTTTTTATATTTTTCATAGAAATAATAAATTGAATGAAGCTCAATCTATAACTCCATTCCGTTAATTGTCTATCTTATGATAAATTGATCAGCAGATAAATATTTTATTATGCGATGTTGTTTCTGCAGTTAAAATTTTTCAACCTTGTAATATGGACAATACTCACATTTTCTTCTTATTTGACAGCTGTGGGACCTGGAAGGTGCACAATAAACAACGGAGGTTGCTGGTCAGAAACTAGAAATGGAAAAACATTCTCAGCTTGCTCAGTTCCGTAATCTTATCCCTTCACTCACTTCCTTCTGCATTTTATTTCATGCCTTTAAAACTCTCCCTATTTTATCCTTTTTTCCTTAGGGCTTTGTTTGATTAGAAAGAAAAAATGGTGGAAAGTGAAAGTGAAGTGAAAGAAAAGAGACAGAAGGAAAATGTATTTTTTGCAAGCATTTGATTAGGATGAAAATTTTTCAATAAAAAATAGAGAAATTTGGAATTTTAATTATAAGTAACCTCATTTATCGACAAATTTAAATGTTTTTTGTGTTTTCTTGTGTTTTTTTCCAAGAAATTAGAAAGTTTGTTACCATACTAATATGGGTTTTCCACCACTTTCATGCTAAAGAAGTTCAAAAAAGTTCCATTTTTCTCTTTCACTCACTTTCCACCATTTTCATCTTAATCAAACTGAGCCTTTGGGGTTTCCAATCTTGCTAAAATATACCACATTTATGCAAAATAGGAATCTCATCTAACCGGCTGTCAATGTCCGCATGGTTTTCGTGGGGATGGTCATACATGTAAAGGTGATTTTCTTTTTTTCCTTGAAAGAATCTAAGAACAGCATACAATCATAGATATACACAATCATAGATTTTTTGGAGTTCTAAATCCGAAAGTGAGTTTTCATGTTCCTTTGTACACCAGATGTTGATGAATGCAAGGAAGGTCTAGCCTGCAAGTGTGATGGCTGCACATGTAAGGACACATGGGGTGGATATGACTGCAAGTGTAAGGGGAGCAAGCTGTATATAACGAATCATGACACATGTATTGGTAAGATAGCACATTTTATTTTAGCTCTGATAGATTATTTGCACAAAATTTTGATGGCATATATTTCTTTCATCCAATGAACATTCTTAGTCACGTGCATCATTTTAATCCTTCAATTCATTGGTCAAAGTGAAGGTTTCCCATTTCATTCTCATCTCCGTCCTATTGTTTTGTTTCTTCTTTTAACTATTCTAGAGCCCTGAACTTTCAGCTCTGTTTTTAAGTCTCACTATAGACACAATAGACTATTCAGATGATGACAATGTACTTTGCAAATGTTCATGAGAGATAATAAATACATGTCATACTAAAATGTAGGAACCATTTACATCATATTTTAGAAAGGAAAGTAATCAATCCGAGTTCATCCATTGTATAAAAAGAAACACAAACGAAACAAAGAAAACCAATTCCCTGGCTAACTAAACCACAAAAATTCTATTTTCTAGACTTAAAATGTTCATGAGAGAGAACAAATACATGTCACACTAAAATGTAGGAACCATTTACTTTATATTTTAGAAAGAAAAGTCAGCAATCAACCCTTGTTCATCCGTTGTACAGAACGAAACTCATCGAAATTTGGATTGTTCCTTATCTTCTTGGTCCTGGCGGTTGTCATGAGTGGTGGTATTGCTGGTTATATATTCTACAAGTACAGGCTCCGGGTATGTCTCATGAAGATTCGCCGATCAAATTTTTGTTCAGTTCATCCTTGTGTGATCATCAATAACATATTTATCTAAAATCTTTTTTTCTTATTTGCAGTCTTATATGGACTCGGAGATCATGGCTATTATGTCACAGTACATGCCACTTGACAGCCATCAAAATAGTCGTGTCGTCCACCATGAAGCTGAACCTCTACGACAAGGTTGAACAGTGTAAGGTAGTTATTGCTGTCTTGTTTTTAACACTACTCGGCAGGTTTAACTTTTTATGAAGAAAAATCGTAATTGCACGGAACTAGCAGAACTCTCTCACATGAGGTGAGATTCATTAAATGTGTGAGTCCTATTCATGTAAGAGAGTTGTGTCTGATTCCGAGATCGGATTTTGTGCACATAAAAGAACTATTTTATGAAACAGTGATTAGTTGGTTAATTTTTGCATGAGCAAAGGTCTGCTGAAGGAAAAGCTTCCACAAGAGGGATGGATTTTGCCAGTTGTGAATTTTCTGATCTATCTAAAACCTCTGGCAACAAAGACATTGTGACATATTCATATAAAGAAATCTCTTCAGAAGAAACATCTTTTCTTTCTTTCCTTTTTAATTTGTTTTTTAAATTTTTTTATTAGTATTTTTTTTTTTTTTTTTTTTTTTTTTTTTTTTTTGTAGATGAAATGACTCAGATGTAAACGGAGACTTGTAGTTGAGAAGTTCATTTATAAAAAAATAAAAGAATGTTTGAGGAGCCATATATATGATTATCAATACAAAGCTATGTAGAAAGTGAAAGAGGATATGTCAATGCTACTTTCCCCCAGGCAAATGGTTTTTGGTTCATTTTGTCTGAAGTTCGGGTATATAATCTTGTAAATTTTCATTTAATTTTAGTTTTCCTAATGTGAATCTTGGATTTATATAGGAAAAGAAAATGAAATGAGTACATTTAGCTTATTTCACTCCATTTTATTTTTTAAAATAGCTCAAATGTCCTCTGGCCTATAATTAACTCAATTGTTATATGCAACATTATTCACAATTTAACAAACGAAAATGTGCCATTATTTTTGTCAAAATGCCATAGCGCAGAGAGAGAGAGAAGAAAAAAAAAGAAAGAATAAAGAATGGCTTAGTTTCAATTGGAGTTATTTATTTTATTTATATATAAAATATAAAAAACAAAAGATGAATCAATAATTGTAATCACATAATTTTATTATATTTGTCATAAAAAAAATACATGATCTATTTTTTTTTACCAATGTGTGTTTGGGGGAAATTTTTAAATACACCCGCCCATCACTTGTACAAGTAGTTCTAAAAGAAATAAATTTGATTTTTTGATAATCGAATGTTCAAACTAACATTCAATAACTTTTTAAAATGACTCGAATTTGAAATTTGAAATCTTATTCTCAAGTCTTTTATTACTCGGGAATCCCATGAGATTGTAAAAAAGGAAAGTAGATTGATATATTTAGACCATGAGAGGAGATTTGTTTAGTTGGTAATTCAATTTGAGTGTGGGACTTTTAGTGTTTTAGGCACATTCATTTTGTGGGAGTAGAAGAAAAAATATGGTACGTCAACAGAAAGAAAAGTCATATACTATGTCAGGAAGAGGGGATGAATGCCAAGCAAGGTTAGGCCTCTGCATCAAGATTTGTGCAAGGGTTTGATGAGGAGATGAATGCCAAGCAAGGTTAGGCCTCTCCATCAAGCTTTGTGCAAGGGTTTGATGTGAGGAGAGACACTTCCTAGAAAGAGTAAGAGGAGTACTAAAAAGGGCAAAGAGTGGATGAGGTAGTTCCATCTTAGGTAAAGAGTAGATAACGGCTTCGTTTGGGAAGTAGGTTGGTTTTTTGGCTATTTTTGTGGGACAATTTTCACTGTAATTAATTAATTTAGTTTGTGTACTTAATAACAAACAAAATATAAAAGAAATAAAGGAAATGAGAGAATTTGTTTGATTACAAAAATGAAACTCGAAATAAAAATAAATAAATAAAAACAGATTTTATTTTGTTACAAAAACAAAATTAAAATCTGATTTAAATAAATAATAATAACACTGAAAATAAATTAAATAACTTACTTGATTTAATTTCTTCGAATTATAATTTGATCAAGTCCAGTGTTTGACACTGTGTCCTTAAGACAGATTCGTCCTCTCCATGGTGCTTTTAGAATTTGGACGTCTATCTCCCAAGATAAAATGATCTACTACAAACAATAGCAACACTACAAATTGTTTGCCTAACGAACACACTAAGTGTTTATACTCTCTCTGACAAGAAAATAATGCAGCAAAATGAAGAAGATGTTTGCAGAATTACGAAGGACGAAAATTAGAGTTACAAAATCCAAATGAGGACTGTCCTATTTATAGATGTAATGGTGGTTGTAGGTTTTGAATTGAATAGGTATGAAACCTGTTGGTTTTAAATTCAAACAGATAACAAAAATGGGAAGGGCCCTGTTTGGGTGTACAGTAAATCTGGACCAGTTTAATTCCGGTTTAAAACGAATTTTGGATTTTATTTTATACAAAATAAAATTAAATTCAAATGTTTTTGGCCCAAAAAGATTAGTATTGGACCGAACAAGTCCAACCCAACCTCACACCACGCACCCGCGCCCAAGCCCAGGCCCAGCCCAGCCCAGCCCGCCCGATCGGACGGACGGACGGCGGCGCGCGCGCACGTGTGGGGTGATTTTTGGGTCCAATGGGTCTAGCCCATTTTGCCCATAACCTCTCTCTCTAAAACACTTGGGCACCCTTTGGGGCACACCCCAAGTACCAAATCCAAGCCTCATAAACTCATTCAAAATTTCTCATCAAATTAATGTGAGACAAGCTATTTTACAACCCTAAGGAATTTCCACCAAAACTCCATTTCCATAGAGCACACTTTGGCTTCAATTTTCCATTCACTCGATAATGGTTTTGAGCAACCAAATATACCACGTGAATCACAACGCGGCATAGAACACGTTACCACTTTGACCCGTGAAAATCGACGCACGGGGCCCACCTAAAAAATAGACCAAACTTAGGAAAAAATTCTAGTTTTACCTAGAATTTTATAACCATTTCCAACAATCTCCCACATGAATGGAATTTGATGATAACGAAAATGCAACAATATGCAGACTTTATCGAAAGGGTATAAGTCGAAAATATCTTGCATCAAGATAGGTAGCTTTCAGCCTTGAACCTTTCCTAGTGATAACCTATCGGACTTACTGGCTAACCAATGGACGCGATGCCTGGAATTGTTCAGTCGTTTGTGTAAGCCAAAACAACAGATTTCACACAAAATATCTTCTAACACATCGTGGTTCTTACTGTTGTGTTCATTTTAGCCTTGAACGCGCCTGGTTTTTATGTGTGTTTCTAGAGAATTTAGCCTCTTCATTTTCATAGAACCGGCCCCAGTTCAACACTCATATAGGTGATTCTTATTGTGAGTATCTTCTTTATACTCGTCTTGATTTTATGCCTTAATCAAGATATAAGTAATCATTAAAAGCAAAGTTTATCCTTATACCCCTGCATACAACATATGTTGCAGATATCACTCTCACCATAGGAATGGGTAGGAACTTAATCTTTGGTGATTTCTGGCAAGCCATACATAACTTAGTTGTCCCTTTGAACTTAGTTCTTGGGATCTTCAGTCATATAAGTAGGGTTACCATTATGACGACTCTTATGTAATAGGCTTTAATCTCATCCCCTTCGATGAACTATACACTAACTCTTTTGTCAAACCTTTTGTTAACGGATCCGCAATATTCTCTTTAGATTTTATATAATCTATTGAGATTATTCCGTTTGACAACAATTACCTTACGGTATTATGTCGACGACGAATATGTCATGACTTATCGTATACATATGATTTGTGCCTTGCCTATTGCAGATTGACTATCACAATGAATGCAAAATAGCTGGCACAGGTTTTGGCCACATTGGAAATGTCTTCTAAGAAGTGACGAAGCCATTTGCTTCTTCTCCTTCTTTGTCTAAAGCAATAAACTCGGATTCCATTGTAGATCGTGCGATGCAAGTTTGTTTCGTGGATTTTCAAAGAAACAACAGCGCCTCCTAGAGTAAAGACATATCCACTAGTGGATTTTGAATATTTAGTATCCGATATCCAATTGGCATCAAACATAACCTTCAAGTACTGCTGGATATCGAGTAAAGTTCAAAACCATGATCACAGGTGAATCTTAGATATCTAAGAACCCGAATGATCGCTTTCCAATGGTCTTCTCCGGGGTTACTAGTGTACCTACTCAATTTACTGATAGCATAAGCTATATCAGGACGAGTACAATTCATTAGGTACATTAGGCTTCCAATAATTTGGGAGTATTTTAACTGAGACACTGTATCACCTTTATTTTTTGATAAATAAAGATTGACGTCTACAGGTGTTCTAGCTAAATTCATATCATCCTTGATAAATTTATCAAGAATTTTCTCAATATAATGTGATTGAGATAATGCATATCCGTCAGATGTTTTAGTAATTTTCTTCCTAATATAACATCTGCGACCCCATATCTTTCATATCAAATCTTTGTTAAGCATTTGCTTAGTTGATTTGATCATGTTTTGACTGCCTTCCAATGGTAAGCATGTCATCCACATAAAGACAAACTATGACATATCCTTGGTCAGTATTTTTTAACATAGACGCATTTGTCACATTCGTTTATCTTAAACCCATTAGTAAGCATTGCATGATCAAAATTTTTCATGCTATTGCTTAGGTGCTTGTTTTAATCCATAAAGAGACTTCACAAGCCGACAAACTTTCTTTTCTTGTCCTGACACTACAAACCCTTCAGGTTGCTCTATATAGATCTCTTCATTTAGATCACCGTTTAAGAAAGCTGTCTAAACATCCATTTTGATGTAATTTCTAAACTAAATTAACGCTGCATAGAAATAAGCATGCGAATAGAAGTTATTCTTGTCACAGGGAATATGTGTCAAAATAGTCCAGACCTTCCTTTTATCTGTAACCTTTAAACTACAAGTCTTGCTTTATACTTGTCAATTGAACCATTTGCTTTCTCATTTTTCTCTTGAATATCCATTTATATCCAAGAGGTTTAGAACCTGATGGAAGGTCCACCAATTCCCAAGTATGATTTTGCATAATGGATTTTACAGCCTTTTTCCACAAAGGTGCTTCAGGACCTGTCATTGCTGCCTTAAAGCTTTGAGGTTCAGTTCTTAACAGGTATGTCAGAAAATCTGGACCAAAAGGATTTTGATGTTCTTCGCTCTCTTATTTCGTCTTGGTCATTATTAGTTAAATCCTGTTGGTCGAGACCATTACTAGTCTCTTGTGTTTTGATTGTCATTAGTCTCTTGACTTTGTATACAACTCTAGTTCTTTTCTGTGAACTTAATTCCTGTCCTTTATTATAAGGAAAGACATGTTCAAAAACACAACATTCCTTGACTCTATAATAGTGTTCACATCTATATCAGGTATTTCTGATTTATAAGTCAAAAACCGATATGCACTACATTCTGAGCATAACAAATAAACACACAATCTACTGTTTTTTGTCGCAATTTTAGTCTTTTTAAGAACAGAAACTTCAACTTTGCCACCACCCTTACACTTTTAAGTATTCGTAAGAAGGCGGTCGACCTTTCTACAATTCATAAGGAGTGCTGTCTATTTTCTTGTGGGGTATTCTCGTTAAGAACATAATTAACAGA